CTTCCCTCAAAAGTTTCCTTTTGGCCATTCTAAATGACAAATTGAATGTTTGCAAGCTCATACTCATTGATGGTTTCTATTGGCAGAGAAAGGATAAAGTTCAAGCGCTTAGTCTGGTTGGACATCGTTCAAATCCCATCAGCATTGTGGATGAAGAACTTGAGAGGATGCCTAGTCTGAAATTCCTCAAGTTAAGAGCAGGGACTTTTGTTGGAGACGTCAACAATTATCTCCTGGAGCTAAGATGGCTCTCTTGGGGTTATCCTCCTCTAGATTGTAGAATGGCCAATATGCACTTGAAGAATCTAGTTGTTTTCATACTTTCAGACAATAAAAACACCGAAAACTGGGGTGGATGGAACATTTTGAAGGTGTGAATTCATACTTTTGTTCTCTCAACATAGTAGTCTCTCTTTGATCCTCTCTGAAAATATTTCAGTGACTTTTGCAGATGGCAAACAAATTGAAAGTTCTTTCTCTCTCAAGATGTAATATATTGAAACGGACTCCAGACTTTTCTGGATGCTTGAGTTTGGAGAGGCTGTCTCTTGATGACTGTCTAAACTTGCAAGAAGTTGACTACTCTATTGGGATGCTGAAAGGTCTTACTCACTTGGACATTACTTGTTGTCTACGTCTTCGAAATTTGCCCGAAGAGATTGGAGGACTGGTGAATCTGAAGCACTTCTCTATTAAAAAGTGCGACAAAATGGAGAAACTTCCATACTCTATTGGGAAATTAGTATCATTGTATGAGTTGGATATATCATACACGGAAATTACAAGTTTATCTGATTCTATTGGTAATGCAAAACACCTGTCATTCCTTGATCTATCATACACGTCAATTGTGGAACTTCCAATTTCTATTGGAGAGCTTACGCAACTCAAGTTCCTTTCACTCCATCAATGTCGAAATTTGGGGGAGCTTCCAGAATCAATAGGCAATCTGAGATCGTTACAGACGTTGCAACTCTCAGGGACAAACATTGTTGAGTTACCTGATTCGATAAAAAATCTCAAGCAATTGAAGGTGATGAGTATGGGAAATAGTCCAATAAGGATGTTACCTGCCAGTATTGGAATGCTAGAGAGGTTGGAAAAGCTCGATGCCCAAGGCTGTGAACAACTTGCAGGCGAACTTACCACTGAAATTGGTAAACTATTGTCTCTAAGTATCCTAGACATATCATACACTCGTGTTCGTGTAGTGCCAACGGCAATCAATTCCCTCACACAACTCCAAGAGCTATATTTAACGGATTGTAATGAGCTTCAAGAGTTGCCTAAACTTCCCCCGAGTTTGAATTATCTAAGTGTTCAATCGACATCATTGCAATTAGTTCCGGATCTCAGTAACCTCACAAATCTAGTGAAATTGCATCTGTCTAACGGCTGTGGACAAGCACTTGCTCAGGCATCAAACCCAATGCAAACACTTCAATTGCAATGGATGGGAAAGTTATCTAAGCTGGAGAACTTGAGCTGGGGCCTTTCAGATGTTCCTGTGCCATTAGCGGAGTTGGGTTGCCTACCTCGACTTAGAGAACTCACTTTTTCTTGCATGGACACTTTCGACTCAGTCATCATTGGACCACAATTTTCCAACTTGAAATATTTGTCCAGATTGAATCTTTATCGCTCTCCATTGAGGGAAATTCAACTCGATGGGCTTGAACTGTTGAGAGTTTTGAATGTGAGAGATTGCGAGTTTCTTGAGAGATTGTCAGTTTTTTCATCAAGCTTGAGGAAGCTCTGTGAAATGGAAGTTTTACATTGCCCAGAGCTACTTGAAATTCGATTTCTGAATACAATGGAATCACTGGAGAAACTTTATGTTAGACGCTGCAATTCCCTAGGAGAATTGTATGGTTTATCAAACTCGAAGAAGCTGAAGACTTTAGGGTTAGAAATGTGCAATGGGCTAAGAGTTATTGAGGGCCTTGAAGAATTGGAGCTTTTGGATTTTCTATTTTTGGTCAGGTGTAGATCGTTGGAAATGTTGACTGATGTATCCGATTCGAAGATACCAAATGAATGCAGGATACGTGTATGGTATTGCGCGAATTTACCAGATACTGATGGCCGTTGTTTCAGTTACAGGGATTACAGAGAGATGATTCTTGACAGGACGAGGAAGACTTTCAACGAGGTGCGCCTTCCTTCTACCCTTTCACTTATTTTTTCAACTATGGCAGAATGAAGTTAAGGTCGCTTTTTGAAAATAAAATATAGTCTCTTGAGAACTTCGTAGTAAAACGAAAATAATCGATGTTCCCTAAAACCAAACTAACCCAAAATTCTCTTTCAATTATGTGGGAATTCGTAAGTGGAGAAAGGTGTCAAAGGTAGAAGAGGAGATCCTAAAATATCACTTGAGTTGAACTAAATTTCAGTTACAGAATTTCTGCCTACAAGGAGTAGCATTGTTAATCTAGACGCATAGATGCACTTAGTGGATAGTCTAGAAGGTAAACACCCAAGGTGATTATTAACTCTTTCACATGTTAATCATCTGATGGGGAGTGCGTAAATTATTTCTCACACTAGCTATTGACATTATAACAATCCTTTATATAAACATGACAACGATCGTGTCAATATTTCACCAACTAAAGATAAAAATCCCGTGCCCATGTGTGAAAGTAGAAGCTCAAAGAGATAAATTTATAGAAAAGTATATATAAAGCTAACTCAGTTTTGGTGTATCTTTTTCACCTTTTTCATGGCTCACTCGTGCTTTTCCTTTTTCTCGTGTTCGTGGAGCGTTTGCAAATTATCTGGTGTTATTCCTTGGAAAGGTTGACTGATCTAATCCAACCCAAGGATACTAGACGAGTGCAACATGATATTACTGCGTTTCCCCTGCTCCATTGGCCCCCATATATAGCTCTCTATGTCTCTCTCTTCTCCAATATACTTGCCATAAAACTGTGTGCTGCACCTAAAATAAGATTCATATTGGAATTCCTAAATTTGTCACGAAAGTGCAATTGAGTCCTAAAATTTTCAAAAAGTGCAATCAAGTCTTAAAAACTTGTCAAATTGTTCCAATCAAGTCCTTTCATTGATTGCACTTTTTGAAAGTTTTAGGACTCGATTGGACTTTCGTGACAAGTTTTATGACTTGATTGCATTTCTTGACAAGTTTTAGGACTTGGATTGCAGTTTTTGAAAGTTTTAGGACTCAATTGCACATTCATAACAAGTTTTAGAATTTCCAGTGTACTTATCCCATTCATTAACGAGGGGTACTTTTCTGAAAATATCCAAATGAAAAAGAATGCCATAGCAACCATCACTTATTGAGAATTTTCACGGAAGGTAAATAAACCTGTACTGAATAAGATGAGCAGTATATAGTTAGTGCGACGACATTGCAGGCTCGCCGGCACGTTGGTGTAAGAATCTGCATTACACCTTTAATTGTTAGTGGGATGGTAACTCACGGATGTGTCATCTAACCTACTTGACAGTAGTCATTGCAACTACGGATCAATTATGCCATGTGAGTGATAGTAGACTCTGTAATTGCCATATTTTTATGTTAAGCAATTGTCGATCCTCTCATGCCTGAGGATTGTACCGTCATACACTTGGTCGTGTGACTGGCTTTGCCCTACTGTTCATGAATGCTTGTGAAGCAAACGACCGTGATTTTTGGACTTTAGGGCATGCTGATTAGATCATATTTGCATTTTCTTGTCCTCCAATAGAGGTAGAGGACTAATTCAGCTTTTCCTGTTCTAGGAGGATGAAATGGAGAAACATTTGGAAGATTCAACGATGGAGTACGACAGCAATGATTGTTCCATATTAGAATGTATCTGCAAGCCCCTACGGTTTTTTCAAGTGAAAGTCTTCGGAGGCATACAGAAAAAGTACATTGTCTTGCAGGATAATGCAGACGTGGGGTCAGGAAAAACTGAATGGATCTCTATGCATTATGTTTAAGGGTATAAAAGTTAATCGATGGCTCCAAGAGAATACTTGCAGTCTTCTTGATAAACTCAAGTGCACTGTGGTCGAGGGACAAGTTTCCGGGAAACAGGAATGCAGTTTGCATATGGATCTTCTCTGCTTTGAGGATTTACTAACTGTCCATTGATTGAGGTAAGTTAATCCCTTAGAGAAGACCAGATTGCTTGCCACATGGAAGCATCGTCAAGATTTTCGTCAACTTAGATAACAGTTTTCCGATGCATGTGATACTTTTTTCTCAGTGGGATAGCGTTAGTCAATGTTTTGGTATCGGTGGCAATGGCAGGTGACTAGTTAGGTATCAGTATTTGTGATTATCGATTGACAGAAATCGATTGAAGTAGCCTCATTTGGCAATGAGTTCGCCTAAATCTTTGTGTCAGATGTCACCTTTTTTATTTATGCCATGAGGAGTCATTTTTTACAGAGTTGACAATGAAAACATCGCAATTCTCCAACTAAATTTGGTAGTCCAGTGCATTAGAGTCAGTTTCTGTCACTGTTATCTATTGGGTGGTCATACAGAGCAAGCTATTCGTTGAATCTGGTTAAATGAATGATTCTACGAAAATTTCTCAAATAACTGAAGAGTGCAAAAAACCAAGGGGAGAAAAAAAAAAAGCAAGCAGAAGTAGGCAATTTTGGGATGTCCAAACATTGATCATTAAATCAATCTTGCACGAGCTCGTCCAAAATCTGTCGAGATTACTAATACGTGCAATCCTTGATCCTAGCATTGTGCTGTGATGGATGACTAGATCTAAGAGGAGAAGATGTTTGTCTTTCCTGTGCCAATGTTTGTGAAATGGGCAAAACTGATGGTACAACCGTACAAGAGACTAACTAGATGATATCTACAAGCAATTCTACTTCTAGGATGAGATTTTAGTTGCAGAAGCTAGGGCAGAGACTACTGACTATGTCATCTCAATTCTCAAGAGTCTGACATTGAGCATCCACTTTAGTTTTTGCAATGTGTGTCAGCATTTTGTCCATTCAACAAGAAGCTGTTTTTGCAGGTGTACCCAGTGTATCTTTGGATGTTTGCTAACACATTATCGTGCGACTTGGATAGCATTGCACCGGCAGGGTCTTTCGAGACTGAGCGGGGAAAGAGGTTTCTGACAAATCCTGCCAAGTCACCCATAAGTCGATCCCACAGGAAGACTCTGATTGAAGCTACATTTATCGAGTTTGGTAAACCATCGTAATCAGATTCTCTTTCTGGCTGGTTCAAAGTTGCAATAGAACTTTTAGAGTCTTCTTGGCTGAATAATATAGACAATCACTAGAAACGGGCAAGTTTCTTGAAACAAAAAAATGATCACTAGATAACAGATGGTATGTTTGTGAACGCGCTGACACCTCGATCTATAGAAGTTTACCTGATGCCGACAGTATTGAGTTTGGAAAGTTTTCGTTTCAAGTTCTTTCATTAGATGTTCTATTGCATAATTTGACATGTTAAGAAGAGTGGATCAGTATGATAAGAGTCTCTTTAGTAAGAATAAGCTTTGTTGACGCATGAATTGGGCGGATCCTTAACCAAATGGTAATCGACCCAAATGCTTTGAACAATTCGCACCGCCAAAAAATTAAGTGGTCGAACGTTTGTTCGCCGAGAATCTCCAATTGCCCAAGTCAATGTATTTGTCCAGAAAGAGAGGCTAGAGATGGAGCATGCATTGCCAAAGGAAATTTGTATTTTGTGGAGTGAGATCATGGGATTACTGTTGGTGGGCTTATTCACAAGTTAGTGTGCTCTATGAGCTTTTTTTCCTACTTAAAGGGCCCAATAAATCTTGTATTCGTCGAGCTTGGCCCAACCAATGCGATGAATGAGGTAGAATCCTCTTCTTACTTTAATACGCTTCCCAATTCAGCCAAACAAAGTTGATATCTAGTGGATGAAGGGAAAGATCAGAAGAGAAATGGCCTCCCTAAATTGGTATGTCCTCATAAAGAGTAATGCTACATGTACTAAGAAAACTTACTGAAATTCTTTTACTAAATGAGTGATAACTTCATTTGGATGTTTAAATAACCTAATCATTCAAAGCACGGGTCCCACTTGTTTCAACATCCAATTAAATCCTGCGTTATCACTTAATAAAAGAACTATTCTAGTGGGATTTCTTAGTGCATGTAGCATTTCTCTTCTCAAGATGCATGCAGATCATGGTGAAAAAAAACGTCTGATAAGAAGAGGCGCGATCTGTCATTTATGCTCTTGCTCTTCTAGTCCAACTTATGAGTGGAAGATATTGTTGTTCTCGTCATTCGTGTTTTATTCTTTGATACACTTTTACTTTGTTGAGTTATTAAGCGAGAACTTCATTTACCGAGAGTACTTGTCATTATTTGTAATCTCTCTTGATAAATATACAAGTGTTGCAATAGTGCTTGGGTTTAAGTAGTGTGATCTACCAATTTTAGGTAAAAGCAACACAGACTACGTTTTAACCTCTCAAAGGATTACTAGTGGATACTAGCCTATTGGTGGCTATTAGTTTAGGAGAGTAGATGTAGGCTTGATCTAAATTGAACCACTATAAGAGTTGCAACAACATCTTCTATCCCTCCCTACTTATTTCCGTATGTAATTGATAAAAATATACTGCACTTGATATCATCAGCTTACTCTTGCATATATCAAACTGTTCCTCCACCTTCAAAATTATTTTCGTGGCAATTTTACCTCAAGTTTTGATAATCAACCTATTCACCCTTTCTAGATTGCTTATTTAACCAAGAAAGTGACAGTTTATGAGTTGTAGGTCCACATTCAAGACGAGCAATCTAAATCTTGACATTCTTTATACCTGATCCTGTAGAGTTATGTGCAATTATACCGAAGAGACAAAGTTCACTCCATCTTAAGAGAACAACGGAGCAACTCAATGAAATAGGAATTTTTTATTCTTTTTTCACTTTTTCTAATCAAGTCTCGGTACTTTTAATTGTTCTAATCAAATCCTTCTACTCATCAAATAGTCTAATTAAGACACTCCAACGCTAATTTGGCCATATCCAGCCAAAGCTGTTGTTCGACATCGTGACATGGACAACATTTTGCCAACATAGACGACCACCATGAAAGGAAAAATTCTTTTGTTTATTTTTAGTTTCTTCTTTTTTTCCCATGGTAGAATCCATGTGGCCGTCAACATTTGCAAAATGTTATCCACATCGCACTCTAACTTTGTCCGACAGACATGTCAGCAATTTGGCCATAGTTAGTGTCAAAGGGACCTGATTAGACAATTTACACAAGTAGTAAGACTTGATTAGAAAAATTAAAACCTAGAGTTTGATTAGAAAAATCGTGAAAGCATGCAACCGAAAAGTAAAATTTCCCTCGATTAGAACATCACCAGAATACGCTTCCAATCACATATATTCTTCTGAAAACGCAAAAGAAAAGAACATTCCTAGCCCCAAGAATACAATCCCAACACGACCAAGACCACGTGCCATCCACGTCCCATTAGGGGCATTGTTCCTTCCCTCCATTGTACTACAGATTCTCTGACCAATGAAAAAGAAAGGATGAATACCAATACAAATTGAGAAACCCCGTGGTTGTTTTGTACTTTGTCTGAAAGTAAATTTTGTAAGAAGGAAGCACGACCACCACATCTCAAACCCCCACACATCATTGCGAAAGACAAAGCTCCATTGGGAGCCATTCATTCTCCGGAGGAGATCAGCGCCCAATTGGGTGACCACTGAAAATCCAAGCCTTCATCAACTTTTTACTACACGCACAAACGGATGTGACAAAGTCCAATTAATGCTGCAGAAATGCCCTGTTCGACAGAAGAATGCGGTGCTCAATTAAAAGCAATAATGCTGCACGAAACGTGGGTGCTTTCTAGAATTGTTGTTTGTTGTTGGGGTGAATCTTCTTGCTCTGCCTTCTCCCTTTTGGCTTTGTATTGGTGGTGGATGGTGAGAATTTTTTGGAACACATAGCGGAATGAAGTACAATTAAATTTTAAACCTTTAAATTGTGTAATAAAGCCCTAAAATTTGTCCAAAAAAGGTACACTCAGATAGTTTGACTAGCTTCCTTCATTTGGAGCGACAAAAAAATTCCAACGTGACTCTATATTATACTTTCCAGGACACTCGATCCTAGGCACCGATCAGAAAAATGGACTACAAACTAGAACGAATAGAGAGTGGGGTTGGGGGTGACGACACCGGACCTTTGTGGACAGCAAGGGCCCTCTCGCGGCCATTTACACGAAAACCTCAGGCCCTGCCATGAGGGCAAGCGCCTTTGCCCGTGCCACCACACACCACTATCCGAGTTGGCCTTCATGACTACCATGTGAGGATCAATCAATCCTTATCAACCAACCCTTGCCTGGTGATGGGAGTGCAAACAGTCCCTCGCTTGCCCAGGGGTGGGGCATGAGCTCAAATTGGTCGCCATGAAAAGTTTGGCCACCCTCGCGGAGACTTGCTAAGGGGCCACTCATTTGAAACCGCATTAGCGCCTTATCAGAACTAAGAGTCCTTAAAAAATGGCCAAATCAAATTTTCCCTTCACTCAAAATAAACAAAGCAAACCAAAATACTTGATTGCGTTTTAAAAGAAAAATTACTTTGATTGTACTTTTCTGAAAATTTTAAGACTTCATCACACTTTCTTTACAAGATTTAGAAAATAAGAATGTTCCATCATTAGTACTTTAAAACGACACTATTTCCATAGATTGTAGGGAAAATAGGAGTGAACATCGTATATGTATCTAAAGATAATCAGCTTGGTCTAATTCAATCTTTTCGAGTGTTCGCATTGGGATAAATTTCATCAATGGTCACTTAACTTGGGTGGCATTTGCAGTTGGGCCACTAAATCTTGATTTCAATCACCTAATGCACTGAACTTTCGTTTTTTTTTTTTTTTGCAATTCATACACCTTGGTCAGATTTTGGTTACACGTTAACATGACAAACATGTGGGGCAAACATGGCGTCCAACTGTGAGCCATGTCACCCTAACAAAAGAGCCATGTCAAATCCAACCCAATGTTCTACTATCACCAACAAAGTGATACACTATTATCTACTTACCGCTCCACGTATCGTAGTGCTTGGCCATGCTATTATTATCATTGTTGTCTTTCGAAAATACTTAAAGCCCAAGGCACCCTGGGCTTTTGGCTTTGCCAATGATGGCATTTTCCCAAAGTGATCCAATTTTTTTTTTATCAAATACTCTTAACTTTTTCACAATGAACTATATAAGGCTAAAGTCCCTCGAGTAAGCTAAACCAAACGCAACCTAAAGCACATATATCTCTGCGAATCAATTCCTGATACAATAAATCAATTATTTGCAACTTAATTCTATTGCAAAGAAAAATAATTAGACTATATTTTAGCATTGCACTTTTTTGTCTAGCTTAATTACCGATGAAAATGACAGATCTATCGCCAAAGGTGATCCTTTTAATGTACAAGAAATGAAAAAACAAAAAAAAGAAAAGAAAAAAAAGAATACTTATTTTCAAATAATATCTTCAAGTTTTTTCTTTCTTTTTTGGCCAAGCAAGATAATTTTGGATAAAGTCCATCACACTTATTATTTCTCATCATTCTTATCTTACAATCATATAAGTTAGGAAAATAATTTCAAAGAAAATGGAGAAAAATAGGGCACATAATTTTTTTATTTTTTTTATTTTTTTAACTTGTATATGGTTACGATTTACGTGGGATCATTGAGATGATAAATAAGATTTTCTTTCCTTTCTTTTTATTGAATTTGGGCAGACATAAAAGTGATGAGTGAGGCAATGGTACACAAAAAGGAGGACTTGAAGATAACCCGCATGCAGATGAAGTCATGATGGGGATGCTCAACGTGTTCTCGCTCCCCAGGTCAGCGATGGCGAGGCGGACCTCCAACTGGATCGATCGTCACTACAGGATCATGTTGGCAAGGGCAATTTCTTCATTGGGCCCCTCCTCATGGCTTCGCCCCAACTATGCCTCCTTCCTGTTGGACCGCTTAACCAGTCTTGGTGTTGGCTATGCCCTTATGATCGCCATCTACATCGCTGAGGTCTTCCCTACCTTTTCCAGCGGGTTCAAGGCGAGGAAGTCGCGGGGAAAGGCAAGGAAGACCTCGGCCATGTAGTCGGCAATCAGAAGGGTATAGCCAACACCATCACTAGTGAAGTGGCCCAATATGAAGGAGTCATAATTGGGATCGAAGCCCAAAAGGAGGGGTCAGGTGAAGAAAATGGCCCCCGCCAACTCAATCATGTAGCGGCGGCCGATCCAATTGTAGGTTCACCTTGCCATCGGTGACTTGAAGAGCGATGGCAACACGTTAAGCACTCTCTGAAGACCTAACCTACATGTCGATTATTTTCAAGTCCTTCTTTATGTATATCAACACCTCGCTCATTACTCCTATGTTTTCCCAAATTCAAAAAATTAAAAGGAAAATCTTATTTATTGTCACAATGTTTCCACGAAAATCTTAACTATATATACAAGACTTTGAAAAATAAAAATATTTGTGCCCTATTTTCCTCCCTTTTTCTTTGAATTTATTTTCCTAATTTATATTATCATAAGATAAGAATCATGAGAAATAATACATGCGATGGATTATGTCCATAATTAATTTGCTTGGCTAAAAAAAGAAGAAAAAAGGTTGTGATGTTATCCAAAAATAATTATTTTTTTCTTTGCTTTTTTTCATTTCCTATACATTAAAAAGCTGACCATTTGCGGTAGTCTATCATTTTTATCAGTAGTAAAGCTAGAGAAAAAAAGTGAAATGACTAAGACATAACCTAATTGTTTTTTTGCGACAAAATTAAATTGCAAAAGATTGATTCATAGCATGGAAAATTGTTCTCAAAGATATATGTGTTTTAAAGTGTGTTTGGTTCAGCTTTCCCGAAAAACTTTAGACTTTTAACACCCCTTATGAAAAAGCTGAGTGTTTAATAAAAAAAAAATTGGACCATTTTGGGAAATTGCCATCGTTAGCAAAGTTCAAAGCCCAAGACTTCGAAGTCCCTAAAATTGAAACCGAAGTTTAATTTTGACTAATAGAAATTTCCTACTAAAGGTCTTCACTGATGGTATTAAATGCTAAGGATGAACTATTCCCTCAAAGTAGATCTAAGAGAAACGCTAACGATCTTTTATATCTTAAACCTTCATTACAACTGTCTTTCATTCTTGGTCAACTCGCTCGTCATTCTTCATCCACTCACTCGCGTCTGCACTGCCGGAACTCATTTATTCACATCATAGAACCCATGCATTTGGAAGCAAGTGTCATTTACATACAAAGAAAAGACGTGTACACCCAGAACACATGTAGGAAGAGAACGGATGTATTTGCATATACCGAAAATGCATTCACTCAAATGACACTTACACAGAGAAGACGCATTCGGCAAAACACAATCCGCGATCTAATATGTTAAGACAAACGCATACGCAAACATGTGAGGCATATTAAAATTGAGATTCTCGGAAATCAGCTCTAAAGTGATTAACGAACGATGACGAATTAGTGGAAATCAAAACCGGTTCAACATGAAACTATCACGGACGAATCGCAATCACGGCTGTAAGCTCTGACATGTACGATTTTCAAGCTAGCAAGAATTAGATTCTCAGCCTCTGTTTTTATTCTCGTACATCCAAAACAGAAGACACTCATTTCAATCTAGCAAACAGCGAATACCAGCAGCCATGGCCGAACGGCTTTAAGCAAAAGAATGGCAAAAGGTGATTACCTTAGACTGCCGTTAGATCCTCTCAATCAGTATCGTTTTCCTCTCAGACTTTGATCAAATTACTTGGACTCAACCTACCAGAACAGAGCAGAGATGCAATTACCTTGGAGATGCAGTAGGTGGTCACGAACAATGATCCAACGGAGGACTGAAGTCCTGCAAGCATCTTCGCTGATGGTCGGCACCGGGGAAGAAATCTCGAGTGAGATCTGAGTTTTTCGGATTTCCCCGCCATGGAACAGGGGCGAACAGAGAGGTTGCAGCATGGAGTTGAAGGAAGCGAACGGTGACGGAGGCAAGGGCTATAAGTCGCCTGAAGTCAACGATGATGGAAGTCTGCAAAATCAAATAAACCAGCAAGAGCTTTCTAGGAGCCCTCTGCAACTCCAAAACTGATGCTCTGTTTTCTCTTACTATCGATTGGGATGGCGATCGAAGGTGGCAAACGGCAGGTGTTGGTGTGAATTGGTGCCGGCGATGGAGACAGAAACGGTTTCTGATAGATTTTTTGCTTGCTCAGGTGTTCTCGGGTGTGAATCGTATCCCCTCACGAATGCCCAAAAATCTCCTTCATAAGAGAACGGCTGTCAGTTAGATGAGATGAGAGCGCTTCTCTCGGTCACCACCTACCTGTACGCATGCCGATCCGCTTGGCTTCGAACGGAAGATATGAAGAGAGAGAGAGAGTTCTGGAAGAAGAGAGTCTTATCGACGTCAGTCAGTTTATGAGAGCGATTCTCTCGGTTCCGAAGTGTAACGAAGTTGGTGAGTGGGGCTTCTTGGAACGAAGTGTAAGGCAGCCCGTAAATTTCAAGTGATCAACGTGGTTAGAATTCAAAATATAGTAACTCCAGTAAAAATGGATAGAGGTCATCTCCCTCCATTTCAATTTTAATTTTGTCTTCTTGATTGCGAAGATATGCAGATATCGATGTCAGCAGTGCAATCAGATGCTACAAAACAAACAATATCATACGGGGTTTTCGCAACCACAAATGATTAAAATGATAAAATACAAGATCATCATGCCTCACTTGGAAAACAAAGAAAAGAATGAACCGCCTGAAAGTTGGTCATGCACGCAATTCCAGCGTGTCTAATGTTATGGAAATGCCGAGAAATTCCTAATTTTCCAGAAATAAAAGGAATAGAGTTTTTTCTTATGATAATTTCACGACGCTTGTCATCAATTCTCACGATTCTAAATTATTGCAGAAAGTTTGATATAAAGAATGGACCCTCGAACGTTTAAATTAGTTATTAGCAGCCGAACCCTCTTTCTTTTAGAAATTCTTCGATACAAGCTGTGGGAGCAAAGACATACGAGAATCCTCCTCGACAATTTCATAAGTCAGAGTTTCATGGAAAACATTTCACAAAAGGCAAGAGGCATGGCTTCACCTGCACAGAAACAGCAGTTTCTTTCCCTGGTTCTGATGCACAAGTCTCGCCCTGCCAGTTAGACAATCACAGCTCTCATTTAAAAAACAACCAAAAATTAAGCACAGCAAGAACATATTTCGTCGATTCCATTTGACAATTTTGAAAAATAAAACATTAATATTCGCAAACCTGCAGACGCCATATTAATATATGGGCTAATACATCTCTTCTCTGAGCAGTTCTTAGTAGGTATCCCTCCACTAGTTTCTGCACAATAGCAGCAGTTAATCACACAGAAAATAGCTAGTATGAAGTTCACCATACCAAATGCAAATCCCTCGTGATGGGCGCGGTTCGAGTTATGGTCTGCAGTTCAGCCAAGATAAATCTGCCCATTTTAAGAGAAACAAGAGACCTCAGAAGTTACTTAAAAATATCCTCAGCAGCTTGCTCTCAATACTTCCAGCTAATGGCAATAGCTTTTAAGTTAAGAATTACAAGCCGCAGATTGTGATTTGAAAATTGTTTTCCTTTTCCAAAGTAATTTTGTTTCCCTACTCCTGCTTTCCAACTCCAACCCATAGCACTTGTCTTCACAAAGGTTTTCTCACAGTTTTCTGAAGAAAAAAGCGCAAATAACTGTAGACTTCAGTAGCTCAGAAGCAGGGCAGCCTCAGCAAACAGTTGAGGTGACAATCTCCACAAATGAGGTTCGCCAAAATTGTTATGTCATGCCATTGAGTTCCAGAACTCGTCATAATGTGCAATCAAGTATATTTGATAAGTGTGTCGATTTTAGGTAATGAAAATATATGGTGTGACCTTGTTTATTGTTTCGAATTATTTATTGTGCAATTTAAGGACATTTAGCACTGATGTGGGGCTATGTAGGCGCAAAATCAGCCTATAGAAAACTTTAATAAAAAAATTAACAAATTGAGTGGTTTGCCTGAATATATGTTCTTTTCTTTTCCGTTCTCTCGTGATCAACTTGAATAAAGCTGCCACGGCCACCCATTGTCAAGGCCACAAGCATACACATGTAGACAGAGAACGCATGTGTTTGCATATACCGAAAATGCATTCACTCAAATGACACTTACACAGAGAAGACGCATTCGTCAAAACACAATCCGTGATCTAATATGTTAAGACAAACGCATACGCAAACATGTGAGGCATATTAACAACGAGATTCTCGGAAATCAGCTCTAAAGTGATTAACAAACGATGACGAATTAGTGGAAATCAAAACTGGTTCAACATGAAACTATCACTGATGAGTCGCAATCACGGATGTAAGCTCTGAGATGTACGATTTTCAAGCTAGCAAGAACTAGATTCTCAGCCTCTGTTTTCATTCTCCAACACCCAAAACCGAAGACACTCATTTCGATCTGGCAAAGGGTGAATACCAGCAGTGATGGCCGATGGCTTTAAACCAAAGAATAGCAAAAGGTGATTATCTGCAACGACTGGCATCAAAGTATGTTTATACGACCGTTAGATCCTCAATCAGTATCGTTTTCCTCTCAGACTTCGATCAAATTACTCGGACTCAACCTACCAGAACAGAGCAGAGATGCAATTATCTAGTGGATGAAGGGAAAGATCAGAAGAGAAACGGCCTCCCTAAATTGGAATGTCCTCATAAAGAGTAATGCTTCATGTACTAAGACAACTTACTGAAATTCTTTTACTAAATGAGTGATAACTTCATTTGGATGTTTAAATAACCTAATCATTCATAGCACGGATCCCACTTGTTTCAACACCCAATTAAATCCTGCGTTATCACTTAATAAAAGAACTATTCTAGTGGGATTTCTTAGTGCATATAGCATTTCTCTTCTCAAGATGCATGCAGATCATGGTGAAAAAAAACGTCAGATAAGAAGTGGCGCGATCTTTCATTTATGCTCTTGTTCTTCTAGTCCAACTTATGAGTGGAAGATATTGTTAGGAGCACACAATAGAAACCCAATTCATTTTTTCCAGAGAGATCACCAAAAGGGAGCCTAAGTCCAAACTTGTTAACATATCCAGTTGGACCCACCTTTAGTCGTTCGCTTAAGCCAATAAATTATGGACCAACTAGGATATATTAACCGCTCTACACCACATCAATTTTTTGATATGGGATTTTTCTAACACAATTCACACGTGCATCCTAACATATACACATTTAATATGTTATGCAGTTCATAGCGAAGCAATATGACATTATTCGAGAATGTTGAGAAAATCTTCTATGATGTTTTGTAGTTGACATAACCATCTAATTCTTGTTATTACTTGATAAATGTCAATGTTGTTTTTGTTTCAGGATACAAGGAAGTTATATCACCATTATTGAGTTCTGAAATACCAGCTGCAAAGACTCGTAAAGATTGAAAAAACCTTAATAGAGTGTGAACAAGTCAGAGGAACGGGAAGTTCATGGAAACTTGGAGGTACCATAAGGTGAACAGTTCTATGGAGCCTTAATCACCAATGTACTGAGGAAAATCAAATGGAAAGGTGTATGGCCCCGTTTGGTTCAGCATTCTCAATGCTCATTTGGCCTCTAAAGTTCCTTGGCCAAATGCAAATGGCGTTTGGCAATTTTTTTTACTCACTTTGGGGAAATGCAATTGCATTTGGAATGCTGGCCAAGGGACCTTTGGCCAATGCACCTCTGAAGGTGCTTTGGGAAGTTGCATTTGCGGAATGCAACTTGCGCTATTCATCGACACTGTTCATCTTCCCCAAACCGACGTCCGGCGGCCGGTGGCCGCTGCCTGAGGGCTAGCCCGACTCCGGCGACCACCGCCCGGGGGTCGCGCGACCCCAGGCGGTGGTCGCCGGTGACCAGATCTGGCCGGAGGCGGTGGCCGGCGATGTAGCTCCACCGGAGTTTTTAAAAAAAAAAAAAAATTAGCAAAAGTCCTTTAGCCCAAGTTGATTTTATAAAACACTTACCAAACGCTACTTGCATTTCGGAAAACCCCTTTAGCCCAAAGGTATTTGCATTCCCCCAAATGCATTTCCCCAAAGCCGAACCAAACGGGCCCTATGTAAGCCAACTACCAGCGGAATGCTTATATAGACTCATGGATCTTTGATATGAGCAACTCTTTATATAACTTGAGATGACGTGCATGTCATGTGATCACACCTTCTGATTTGAAGACCCACATTTTCCTTTGACTTCCAAAATTTAGTGCCAAGGAATATTGACAACAAGCCACATGCCTGGAACTCCCGAAGAGATACACAAAGGAGAATCCAATCAGTCACCAATCACTTTGGTGAAAAGTATTTTTTTTTAATATAGGCAACTCTATTTGTGGAAACTACACAATTGCTGGGAAGATGATTGTATGGACGACCAATTCTCTTGGTGATTGTGTTATATATTTTCAACAACTAAATTGATCATCTTGAAGATGTCCAATAGCTAGCTTATATACTAAAAACTATATAAGAAGATCAACAAATGCCCGAGAAAATATGAATGACGAGAACAACTATGAACTAAGAAAGCTTTATTCTTTGATACACTTATACTTTGTTGAGTTATTGAGCGACAACTTCATTTACCAAGAGTACTTGTCATTATTTGTGATCTCTCCTGAGAAATATACAAGTGTTGCAGTAGTGCTTGGGTTTAAATTAGGGGTGAGCAAGTTGGACCGCCCAAACCGAGACCGGACCGGACCGACCGGTTTGGTCCGGTTCTCAGGAATATCGGTCCGATTCCCGGTTCCTAAGAGTGGAACCGGTTTTCGGGCGGTTCGGTTTTCGATTCTAGGGTGGGAACCGGATTGAACCGGACTGATAAATATATATTTTTCTAATTTTTTCATATATATATGAAAAATATTTGATATTGGTCCTATTGGAACCAATTGTTCAATTTTTTCATATATTATATATTTTTCTAATTTTTTCCATGGCCTTATGGAATCAAATCAGAACTACAAAGGAAAGAACGGAGTAATCGATTCCTAGTTCACAAATAATATTTAATATTGATCCCATTGGAACCGGACCGGACCACTCCCATGACTAGCCGATCCAGTCCCCAGTCCTAGAAATTGAGAACCAGTCCGGTTCCTGATTCTTGGGTTGGACCGGACTAGATCGGGAACCACTCACCCCTAGTTTAAGTAGTGTGATATACCAATTTTAGGTAAAAGCAACACAGACTACGTTTTAACCTCTCAGAGGACTACTGGTGGATACTAGCCTATTGGTGGCTATTAGTTTAGGAGAGTAGATGTAGACTTGATCTAAATTGAAC